GATTAGTTTGTTTTCAACTGTTAACTATAACACCATCCATTTTATAAATTTTAACTGATTTGATCATATAGTTACCGATATCTGATCAATGTGATTTTTTACAAGCATATAGTACTCGATGAGTTCTACACATTGAATGGTTCAGATTATTAAAAAGGGGCCTGTGATAGGCAAAAAGGGACCTGTGATAGGCCCTCATGGGCTGAACAGCACCGTATTATTTGTACACCTAAATAAGTGCAATTTTTCCCACCCCCAGCTCCGCTTGCTCTGCCGTCAGGGTTGTTTGAAAAGGAAGATTGTGTAAAATTAATTTTTTACTATTTTTTTGGGTGAATAGTGATAACTTTTTAACTTTTTGAGTAATTTTTTGGCTTTTTTTTTTAGTACTCAAACCAGGCCTAAATTTCACTGTTGGCTCTAAAAATTACGATAATCCCAATGGGACAGTCAATTCCGTTTTCTATCACCTCTACAGCTTTCAATTTAAATTTTATAATAAAAAATCAAATAGATTTTCTTACAGTGAACAGATAGAAATTCAAAAACATATAAAATTATATAATTAGCACTCAAAATCATATCAAACATATAATTATAAGGTTAATTAGTATAACACAGAGTAGGGTTGTCACAGTTCTCTTAAGCCTCCTAGGCTTACACTCAACTCTTGTTAAGTAATTATACTTGGGCCCCAAGTAACATAAAAATTACATCATCCTCTCTTGATAACATACCATGATTCCTAATTAAATTAAAGTTATATTTTAGCACACACAACTATTAAATTAGATATATTGTTATTATTATTATTATTATTTCTATTATGATATTAACACGATGTTAAAATTAATTTAGCATATGGGTTGCCACATGTGCACCACCTCAACACTTTCCATATAAACCACCCGATTGCAACCCCTCACTTTTTTATTATTCTTTTTTAAAAACCCTACATCTTCTTTTTCATTCTTTCTATTATGAAAATCCTAGATTCAGGGACGACGCCAAGGTGATGGTACCATCCACCCATGACCTTTCCAAAAAGCTTTAGATTTTTTTTTTAAAAAAAAAAAATTATTTGATAACTAATTAATCCCATATAAAAAAATAAAAAATAAAAACAAAACAAAACAAGGTGACCCCATTGATTAGAAACCAAAATTCATTAGGAACCTACTCATTTTCTATTACATTTTTCTTTTCAATACTCAAATCAAAATGAGAGATCAATTGTTGAATGTTACTTGATCACGTATATATATAAAAATAAAAAAATAATAAAAAAGAAAAGAAAAGAATGTGTTTGACAATATTGACAATAAAGTTATCATGTAATAATTCAAAAAATGATACATCATCAAATACGATTGTAGAAGTTTATTTATTTATTTATTTATTTTAAACAATAATATATATTAAAAAATTATTTTACCTAAATGCCGAGCAATTCAAATGTTAATTAGCTTATTTTTTTATCTATTAAAATTTGTGAAGTTTAAATTTTTCGTATGACTCTATTTATAAAATTTTATAAAGTTGCTACTGCTCATATTTGAAGTGGGAGAGGACCAACAGAGAGTATCATGTCATACGGATATTAAAGTTGCCCACTATATTCATTTATTTAGGGGTTGTTTGGGATGTAAGTATATTTTTTGTCTTTTTAGACTAAAAAATTGAGGAAGAAAATATGGATGTTTGGGTTAATTTTTTGACTTTTTATGAAAAAATATGTAATAAAAAATTGTAAAAATGTGTATTAAAAAATTGTATAAATTAGTGCGTAGGGAAAAATTAAGATTAAGAGTTGTGCAGCCGTAATTGTTGACTTTTGGTAAATAATGTTAACTTTTTAAGTAACTTTTTGACTTTTTAACTTTTTTACAATATGTCAAACTTGACCTTATTATCAAATTAAATTATGAAAATTTTATTTCCAGCTTCCTCGTCATAAATTTTTACTAGTTTAATGATGGAAACAAAAACTTCAAAGTTTCTACCTTATTATAGTAAGCTACAATTTTTTTTTTTTTTTTCTGACAAAAACACCCTTATTGCTTGAAACAGCCAAATATATTAACAAACTTCGGTTTCATTTTTGTAATAGATTTCAAAATTTAAAAGTCAATAATTTTTCACCTATTTGCATAAAATTTTTATTTTTAGAATTATAAGATTTATTAAATAAGATGCATTATGGTAATAAAATTTTGAAAGAACAAAATAATGAAATTTTTGAGTTGTTATCTTCAAGCCGACAGAAATTTCATTAAAGTTAATCTCTTCGCACTCAAATGCCCAAACCGATTACACAGCTCCCTTATCTAGAATGGTATGTACCCACGAATTTCTCTGATTATCCACTGTTGTCATCTTCAACGTCATGGTCGACGATGGTGGACTACGCTTTGATTTCTAGGGCTTATCATTTCAATTTTCGATGTCAAATGGAGAATTACAGCTACGATGGAAACAGACCAGACCCAACCCCTAAAAACCACCCTTAGGCTTAAGTGACCTAATGGAAAACAATTCTTGGACTAGAAGAAGAAAGTCTAACCCTGTTATGGAAGGAAAGGTTTCTTTCTTGTTTCTTCTTTCCTTTTTCTAATTTTTTATTTTATTATTTTTTTTTTTTCCATTCCCAATCAAAAGAGGAAACAAACACGGAATACTAAACCACCCTCGGCTAGGACTACCATGTTTCAAGCCTCACCAGACTCTATATATATAAGACTAGAAAACATGCTTAGCCTTGGATCAAAATAGTATTAAGCCCCATTCTCAAGGGCCTAAAGTCAGAGCATCATCGGTGTGTGCAGTGGCCAGCCAATCAGCCACGACAACAAGCAGCAAAGAGCCACGTCCGGTGAGTCCTCTCTCTCTCTCTCTCTCTCTCTCTCTCTCTCTCTCTATCAGATTTTAATGAAAGAATAGTTGCCCTAATTCATGTGCCCTGAGGTCTAATATATTTGCAGAGTTGATTGTGAATTTATGTGACTATAATCATACTTCAGAGGAAGTATAGTAGAAAATTTCTAATACTGATATCTAACCTCATCTATTTCTCTATGAATTGTTGTTCTTGTAGAAAAACATATATATATAATTATAAAAAACAAATATCTTGTGAAGCAAAGTTGTTTAAATTAAATATATACATGCATCAATACATATTTGTCTTTGCAAGGAATAAATTATAATGCAATATACTTACTACTATTTATACAATAGATATGTTAAAAATTACTATTATCTTCCCAAAAAACTTTTTTTTAGTAAGTTAATGAAATTTTTTTGATAATATTAATTTACATAAAATAATTTGAATAATTTTTTTCCAAAATTGCTAAAGAAATTTAAGTATTTGTGTGTATTGCATTTAATTTAAGACACATATTGATGATAGTATTGATTTAGCTCTGAAAAGTATTCTGACTACACTCTTGTATAGTATTTATCACTTGCCATTGAAGATCACAAACCATACATTACTTCTAAAAGATTTCGACTGCTGTAGTTCTATAACCTTCTTCTCTACGTTTTGATAAATTCTTGATGTTTTCTCAATCATCCATATTTGTTTTACTAACTAGTCACTAATATTTCAATCAACATATTGTTCCCTATTAATAGTTTCAATGGTAGTGTGATTTACCTAGCTGTGATATTGATTCCCATGTTTGTGAATGAATGACAGCATATACAAAGTTCTGTCGCCTGAGTTGTCTTATCTAACATAAAATTAATTGGTATTAGGAAGGAGTTCACTTATGTCTTTTATTACATTTGACATTGTGCCCACCCATAGGCCTATTTTTAGAGCAGCAGATGCTCTCGTGAATCACCTAAAGCTAATTAGTGTTAGGGAGCGGTTCCACTTATGTCTTTTGTGGCATTTGATATAGCGGCCGCCACTAATTATTTTAATAGAAGCGGTCGTATATAGTGACATTGTATAACCAACAAGTTCAATAGCGCAAAAGTATCAAAAGATTTGCAGTTGTGATGGACAAATAATAAGAATCAAATCTAACCCCCTCTCTCCTGCAGTGTCATGTTAACGCTTAAATTGTTAGTGATCTAACAAATTTTAGGAGCCCAAATTATGAGTCATAATTGTAGAGCTATCTCACATTCTCTTGATGCATTTATTCATGTTAAATTTATGCCTAGCTAGATTGACTGAGAAGATGTCAATGTTTTGCTTGTTCTTGTGTTAACATAACTGAAAACTCTAGTAGTGGCTTCTTTTTTTTTTTTTCCCCTTAAAAAAAAAGAAAAGAAATTCTCTTAGCTTTCTTTCCATTTATTTTGGGAATGATTTTAACTTCACACTAGAGGCTTCCTCATGACCATGATCTCCCTATTATGGTTGATAGGTATATTTTTTGCTGATACCAGAAATTTAAATTAATTTAGTACTTTTTTAAAAAAAATTATTTCAGCAGATCATAATGGATGAAAGTTTACAGATAATTTTATCTCTGTATGTGTTTGGTACTCTTAGATCATCAATTTTGAAAATATGCAATAAAAGCTTGTTAGTAGATAATATCGTATTCAGTAATTATATGAAGTATCTGAATGACAAAGTGCATTACAGATTACATTTAGGCTGGATTGTCTTCTTATTACCATGATTTCCATAATATTATCTACAATTTGCCACTCTTGATTAGATATTCAATTTGTCATAAGTATGCCCTTTCTTTGTTGTGCAAGTATTATTCATCATTGATAATTTTATACTAGTTCTGAAACTCCTTACTGATGTGTAGATTTTCTGACCTTTCTTCTTTTCTATGTTAAAAAAATAATAATAATTCTTGGGCTCAGTTTGGATGATGGTTATTAAAGGCTTGTCAAATTCACTCTTGAAATCTAAACCTAAACCTAAAATACTGTATTGAATTAAAGGGTACCAGAAAGTTACCATTTTATAATGTAACATATTTTTATTTTATTACTTTCTTTGGTTTCAGGAGGTCATCATAATGGATGAGAATTTGACTGATCAGCATAATTTATCAGAGCTAGAGAATACAACAATGGATGCCATGATGAGAGATTGGACTAATCTTCCAAGTGAGCTTTTGAGCTTGATCTTGTCACATCTCTTTCTTTATGATATCAAAAGGTTCCGCAATGTCTGCAAAACATGGCAATCAGTTACTTCCCAACAAGTAGTGCCATTTCCAATTCATTGCCCAATCACCCAATCTCATTGGCTCATGTTTTTCCTCGGATACAAAGTGCCTTTGAATTTTTACAACCCCTTATACGAGGACACATACCAAATGGCTATTCCTTGTGAGTTATCCGGTGCAGTGCTTCGCTTCTCCAATAATGGTTGGTTGCTTATGTCTAGAGGTAAATACTCTATGTTCTTCTTCAATCCTTCACCAATGCAAAAATTGACCTTCCAGATTTACCTGAATATTACTATTTTGATACTGTATCCTTCTCTTCCGTGCCCACATCCTTAGACTGTACCGTTTTTGGCATACTCGGCCTTTTTAATGATATAGCTTGGTTTTCATCCATTTCTCGTGGTGAGGAATCTTGGACTTGGGCTAAGGTTAATAGCAATCTAAATTTTCAACCATCTCATACTAATCCAGTTTTCTACAATGAGCTCTTTTACTGCTTGGGTCAAGATTGTAACTTGGGGGTGTTTAATCCAAAGGAAAAGGATTCGAGCTGGACAGTTCTTGATGGCCCCAAGAAACCCCGTGGCTGTGATTCTGTGTATGAAAGTTATCTGATGGAGTGTGATGGAAAGCTATTGTCGGTGTTTGTGGGCAACAGGGGAAGAGGGGTTTTTGTTTACACATTGGATGAATCGGAGATGGCATGGCAGAGAGTAACTGATTTGGGTAGCAAAATGTTGTTTGTGAGTCACTCCACATCTTTTTCATCGACCAAAGTAGTAGAAGGAATGGAGAACAAGATACATTTCCCCAGATTTTGTGGAAAAGATGGGGTATTCTATTGTCTTGCAACCAGTCGGTATGGATCCTTTGGCAGTAACATCCGTAAAAAGGACCTTCGCGGCACAGAAGAACAGCTACACTGTAGTTGGATTGAGCCAATAACTGGAACATATACTGAGGAAGAGCTTAACTGGCTTGCGGTGGCAAGTTGATCAGGTGTAAATTAATAAAAAATAAAAGAAAGACTATTCAATGTGCGAAGCTCTTGTTAAAAGCATATTTCTTAAACTCTAATTTTTTCAAATTTTCCTACATTAATTTTTTTTTTTTCTTTCTGATCAGTTTCTGAGATGAAGTGAGGATTTGTTATTCTTTTTTTTAAGTATGATTGCATTATGTTGATTACATTATGTTATAAATTATATGCTTAATTAATCTGATGTCCAAAATGTTGCTATAAATTTTATGTATTATTAATTTATTAGGCAGCTCTTAAAGAAACCCTCACTAAGGCCAAGTTTGCTCTCAGCAAAGCCTGATATCTCTCTATCTCCCGTTTCTGGTTTCACTGTCAGCCTGGCACTTTTGCATCCATTTTTTCTTACTATTTGGCTACCACATGCCAGGGGCAGGATAGGATCTTGATTTCAGGGGCCAAATTAAGGGAAAGATTTCTGTTTTTGAGAAATATGTTTTCTGAAACTTTTTGAAAAATGCTAAAAACTAATTTAGTGAAAAAAAAAAAAAAAAAGGATAAATTACAAATATACTCCTTAAGGTTTGTTTAAAATATAAATTATCCCCTATAGTTTTCAAATTTTCATTTTGCCCATTCAAGTTTCCAATCACATAACAAATGATTCATTTTATTAATAAATTATAGTCAAAAAAGATATTAATAAATTATAGTCAAAAAAGAGTTTTTAATGATGTTAGAAATATGATTCAATTAACAATTTAAATAATTTTATTATTGTATAATAGAACAGTTAAGAATTTTATTTTTTCATTTAATTTTGTTAAATAAAAATTTTGACAGAGGAGTGTTTATAATTTTCTAAACTTTAAAAAGTAATTTATATTTTAAACAAATCTTAAAAAATATATTTATAATTTACTCTAATCAAGACATTGATGCTTTTCTCTCAATAATGCCTACCCTTATAATTGGAGTAAATTACATTTAGACCTTGTTTGGGAACTAATATTTTAGATAAAAAATTATTATAAATTATTACATTATTCTCTCTATTTTTCTATATATTATTTTAAAAAATTAAAAAAATTACTAAAATAATATATTCTCAAACCACATCGAAACTTTTACCTGCCCGTGTTGTTGACTTTGCATGGCCAGCTAATCAAGACATTATGCGTTCCTCTCAATAATACCTACCCTTATAATTTGAGTGAATTACACTCACCTTGACTGTTGAAGAAAATATAATTAGATTAATATTTTTAAAATAATTATATTAATTTCTCCAAATTTTTTAATTTATATAACACTTAAATTATTTTTTATCAGTAATTCATTAGTTGTAAGAATAAAAAATAATGACATCTTCTCTTTTTACCATACGAGAAGGGAGGTTAATGTAATAATGTCAAAAGTGTGAGACTAATTGTATTTTTTTAAAATCTTAAGGGAGGTGAGTATACGATGGTGGACTACGCTTTGATTTCTAGGGTTTATCATTTCAATTTTCGATGTCAAATGGAGAATTACAGCTACGATGGAAACAGACCAGACCCAACCCCTAAAAACCACCCTTAGGCTTAAGTGACCTAATGGAAGACAGTTCTTGGACTAGAAGAAGAAAGTCTAACCCTGTTATGGAAGGAAAGGTTTCTTTCTTGTTTCTTCTTTCCTTTTTCTAATTTTTTTTCCATTCCCAATCAAAAGAGGAAACAAACACGGAATACTAAACCACCCTAGGCTAGGACTACCATGTTTCAAGTCTCACCAGACTCTATATATATAAGACTAGACAACATGCTTAGCCTTGGATCAAAATAGTATTAAGCCCCATTCTCAAGGGCCTAAAGTCAGAGCATCATCGGTGTGTGCAGTGGGCAGCCAATCAGCCACGACAACAAGCAGCAAAGAGCCACGTCCGGTGAGTCCTCTCTCTTTCTCTCTCTCTATCAGATTTTAATGGAAGAATAGTTGCCCTAATTCATGTCCCCTAAGTCTAATATATTTGCAGAGTTGATTGTGAATTTATGTGACTATAATCATACTTCAGGAGAAGTATAGTAGAAAATTTTCTAATACTAATATCTAACCTCATCTATTTCTCTGTGAATTGTTGTTCTTGTAGAAAAATATATATATATAATTATAAAAAACAAATATGCTATTGTTAGAAATTGAATAAAAAAGCATATTTCTTAAACTCTAAGAAAGAAAAAAGAAAAGAAAGGCTATTCAATGTATGAAAAGAAAAGAAAAGAAAGAAATTGATCAGGTGTAAATTAATAAAAAAGAAAAGAAAGACTATTCAATGTATGAATCTCGTTAAAAGCATATTTCTTAAACTCTAATTTTTACAAATTTTCCTACATTAATTTTTTTTTCCCTTACCACTCAAGTGTGTAGTGTTATACTATTGTTAGAAATTGAAGTTTCTTTCTGATCAGTTTCTGAGATGAAGTGAGGATTTGTTATTTTTTTTTTAAGTATGATTACATTATGTTATAAATTTATATGCTTAATTAATCTGATGTCCAAATTATGTAATATAATGTTTCCCATGTTCTCATAAAAAAAAAAAAAAAAGGTTTGAACTTGATGTTTCAATATTTGGTAACTCTTCATGTTTACAGCAAATCATTAATTAAAACCTTAATTTATTTAAAAAGAATGTTATGCTTTAACATCTTTCAAACACTAGCTTTCTGTCCGGTTGTGCTTATTAACCAATTCAATAAATGGTATGCCGCTTCAGAGACAAACATTTAATGATGTATCACATCATATCAAAAATTCAATTTTCTTAATATTATTTCTAATTTTAAGTTTGACCACATCATATCAAAATTTTATTTATCAGAACCATCTATTTGCAATCGAGTGAACCACACCAAATGGATTCTCTTATCTTTTCTGCCTTAGGCACTCCTTTGAACTGGTGTAAAGATGAACCAAGTCAAAAACTCAAAATTATTTGAAAAACCTTTCATCTTGTTCAGATACAAGGAATACAACACTGGCAAAGGAGAACAAGAGGGTGAAACCAAAAATTGATTTCATAGTTACTTTGTTGAGGCTTTGATTTGTTAAAACCAGAAATTGGCGTGTGATGTTGGGTTTTGTTAGAAGCATCCTTGTTATGTCATGGTCAAAAAAATTGGGTTTTTCTGTATGTTTTACTGTAAACTCATATTTTGATATGAACTGAAATGATTTTTTGTACTTTCTCTATATTTGTAGGAATAGGTTTATGTATGATGAATGTATCATTCAGAATTTTTGTATAACATTAGGCTTTCTAGGATATATATGTTGATTTTAGTGAATATTTATCTCTTCTTTAATGGGTTGTTTAAAAAAACAGTTTTCATTGTTATTTTTTATCCATTGTTTGATTTGTTCAAACTGTTTTCTATTCTTTCAAGAATAAGAAACAAGGACGTTGATAATAATGGTGAGTTTTGGTGGGATGATTTGGAGTTTTGGAGTGAGGAAGAAGAAGATAAAACAATTGAAACTTTGAAAAAAAAATGAAGAATATGTATAAGTGATTAGGGTGTATCATGAAAAAAAAAAATTAATTGAAGATTTAATATGTGTCATCCTTATTAGTAAATTTATATTATGATATAATAAAAATTAAAATTTCAAAATTTTAGTTGGACGTAATTAATAATGTTTTGGGTGCAAATAGAATCACCCCGTCTTGTGGACTAAATATTTTTTCCAACCCTTAAAAAATTGGTTGAACGGTCCATCACGCTGATAGCCACCCTTAGGTCTAAGTGACCTAATGGAAGAGAATTTTTGGATTAAAAGAAAGTCTAATCCTATTATGGAAAGGTTTCTCTCTTGTTTCTTATTTTCTTTTTCTAATTTTTTTACCATTCCTAATCAAAAGAGGAAATAAGCACATAATACCAAACCAGCGTAGGCTAGGACTACCATATTTCAAGTCTCACCAAACTTCTACTCTATATATATGATACTAGACATCATGCTTTGCTTTGGATCAAAATAGGGCCTCAAGTCAAAGCATTGTCAGTGTGTGTAGTGGCCATCCAATCAGCCACGACAAGAAGCAGCAAAGAGCCACAATTTTTTTTCCATTCCTAATCAAAATAGGAAATAAACACATAATACTAAACCAGCCAAGGCTAGGACTACCATATTTCAAGTCTCACCAGACTCTACTCTATATATACGATACTAGACATCATGCTTTGCCTTGGATCAAAATAGGGCCTCAAGTCAAAGCATCGTCAGTGTGTGTAGTGGCCATCCAATCAGTCACGACAACAAGCAGCAGAGAGCCACATCCGGTGTGTCCTCTCTCTCTCTCTCTCTCTCTCTATATATATATATATATATCATATTTTAATGGAATAATAGTTGCCCTATTTGATGTGCCCCAAGGTAGATTGTGAATTTATAGGGATTTTTTATCATATAATCATACTTAATAGGAAGTAAAGTTTCGGATATGAAAAACAATAGTAAAAGTTAAAAGAAAAATCTGTCAATTCTCTGTCCATTGTTGTTGTATTATTGTTGTCAAATAGGATACCTACGGTTTGTCTTTTTTTATTTTTATGAATAGCATATCCTTCCGAAGATATACTTGAACACCTTTAAAAATAGGTAAAATAAATAAATAAATATAGTACTAAAAAATAAATATCTTGTCTTCGTAAGGAATAACGCTAGATACTTATTACCATAAAATAAATATGCCAAAACGGTTGAGAAATAAAATAAAAAGTACTATTCTCATCTCAAAAATATTTTTTTTTATTAAGTAAATGAAATTTCTTGACATTAATTTACATAAATTAATTTGAATAATTTTTTTTTTCCCAAAATTGTTAAAGAAATTTAAATATTTATGTAACATGCATATCTATATCATAAGATATATTTAAAAGAGTATTAATAATAATATCAATTTACCTTTGAAAGGAATCGAATCAAGATACTAACAAAACTCTTGTTTAGTATTAATCACTTGCCATTGAA